AATGAAATAAGCCCATCATAGAAGGACAAATACCACATGATTTTACTTATTTGTGGAATATAATGAACCAAAAAAGCTGATGAACAAAATAGACCCAGAGATATAGAAAGGAGTGCAGTTCAGACTAACAAACTTCAGAGGAAGGGGGCAGGGGTGAGGGATGAGATAAATCAAAGGAGTTATGTGCATGTGTGAGTAACCAATGGGCATAGATAACAATGCTTGTACAGGGGTGGGGAGGGAGATAGGGAGGAGGGTGTCTGGGGGAAAGGAGAAACATCTGTAACATAAATAAATTAATATAAATAAATAAGTAAATAAATAATAAGTATATCAACTATGAGGTATCACCTCACACCTGTCAGAATGGCCGCCATCAACAAATGATCAAGCAACAAGTGCTGGGGAGGATGTGGAGAAAAGGGGACTATAGTACACTGCTGGTGGGAATGCAGACTGGTGCAGCTACTATGGAAAACAATATAATGCTTCCTCAAAAAATCAAAAACCGAACTGCCATTTGACCCAGTAATCCCATTTCTAGGAACATATCCTAAGAAGCCTGAAACACCAATCAGAACAAATATGTGTAACCCTATGTTCATAGCAGCGCTATTTACTGTCGCTAAGATCTGGAAACAGTCCAAATGTCCATCAATAGATGAGTGGATAAAAAAGCTGTGGTACGCCCTGGCTGGTTTGGCTCCGCCATTACAGCGTCAACCTGTGGACCAAAGAGTCCCAGGTTCGGGTCCCACTAAGGGCATGTACCTCGGTTGCAGTTTGTTCCGGCCATGGTTGGGGTCATGTGGTTGGCAACCAGTCAGTGTGTCCCTCCCACATCGATGTTTCTCTCTCTCTTTCCCCCTCTCTCCCTCCTACTCTATCTGAAGATAAATGCAAAAAATGTCCTTGGGTGAGTATAAAAAAAATTAAAAAGCTATGGTACATATACACAGTGGAATACTATGCAACTGTAAGAAAGGAAGACCTCATATTTTGTTGTAGACCAACAAGACAGACCAGACTCAGACTCCGAACTGGGTTCAAATTAAGAGGGCTTTATTAGCTGCGCGGCGACTGTCCTATCCTACTCAGAGGAGAGAGCAGCCCCAAGCTCAGGGGGACGGTTGCTTATATAGTTGTCTTAGCCCCTGTTAAGGAATTTGGATTAAGGATATGCAAGCAAGCAAGCAAGTACAGAAGCAGATATTTGCAGTTAGCTGTTATGCCTGAGGGAACAATCAGTTTCTGTGTACACAAAGCAATGGTTATCTATACAATGCAGTGGTTATCTATTAGCAGATAGTTCTTGCCATACCCTTAAAAATCCAGGGGGCAAGGTCATGTGTTTGTCCTTTACAATCCTTTGAGACAATATGGAGAGACCTGGAGAGTATTGTGCTAAACAAGATAAGCCAATCAGAGAAAGACAAGTATCACATGATCTCACTTATTTGTGTAATATAATGAAAAAAATAAGGTGATAAACAAAATAAACCCAGAGACATAAAAGTAGGGTTCAGACTGACAAATTTCAGAGGAGGGGGCTGGGAGGAGGGAAGAGAAAAACCAAAGAACTTATGCATATAAGCATAACCAATGGACATAGACAATGCTGGGTGGAAAGGGGCAGGAATGAGAAGGGGGTATCAATGGGTGAAAAGGAGAAATATCTGAAACAAAAATAAATTAATTAGATTTATAAAAATTAAAGTGAGAAAAAAATAGAATGAGGAATGTAAACAAAGAGAACCTATATACTATCTTTTCTGTTTGTTTGCATAACATTTCTATAGCCGAGATTGTTGTCATACAGGGAGAAAGCCCTTTGGCTACTGAGTTTAGTTGCTGATCAAAATTTCTTATAAATCTATGATAATCTATGTTTTTTAGTTAAAACTTCTAAAGTATAAGAATCCTTTATTTTCATGTATAAAAGTTATAAAGTTTACAATTAAGGTATGTCAGGATGGAAGCTTTAGGTAATTCTTTAGAAATGTTACAGCTCATTTCCGTTCTGGGTTCCACTGAATTGGATTAGGTCAGTTTGATTTTAATAAGACATAGAGGCTAGGCCACTAATAAAAATTTTTGGAATCTGCCCTGGCCAGTTTTCTCAGTGGTTAGAGCATTGGCCTGTGTACCAAAGAATCCTGGGTTTGATTCCTACCAAGGGCATGTACCAAGGTTGTGGTTCATTCCCGGCCCCCATTGGGGTCATGTGGGTGACAACCAATCAATGTGTCTCTCTCACATTGATATCTCTCTCTCTCTCTCTCTCTCTCTCTCTCTCTCTCTCTCTCTCTTTCTCTCTCCCACACACACACACACACACACTCTGTCTGAAAATAAAATGTAAAAATATCCATGGGTAAGGATTAAAAAAAATTTTTTTTTGGAATCCAATTGTGACAGTATCCAGTCAGGCCTAGGAACCCTATAAGCTGGGTTTTTATTTTTTGTTTGTTTTTTGTTTTTAGAAGAGGAAAGGATATTATTTCTCTGAGTCTTTCAAGGCTAATTAGTAACCTACATTTAGATATTAGATAACCATGATATTTTATCTGGAATAAACAGAATCGAAGCTTGTCCTTTTACCTGTTGTAGCAGGTAAATTATGCCCTCTTGGAAGTTAATATGTTTTAGTGCATAAAAGTAAAGCATTTACATATTGGATTAGAGTGGAATCTCAGGGACTGTCACCTCCCACATCACTTCGACCCTCTTACATGTCTCGGTTTCTCTCCATGGCTGTATAATACAAATGTGAGGACTCGGAGCAACAGGAAACCAGTTTGATGCACGTCCCCAAACAAATCAAATCATTAATTACTGTTGTGTTGCAATTCCTGATGGGGCTTCTGCTCTTCTTGAGGGATACCCTCTGACACCTCCACATAGATTCTTAGTCACCTAAGAATACCCAAAAGTAGAGCCAGAGGAAGTAGAGGTCCCTTATCTTCAGATCTCCATGAACTTGGACCTTTATTTATCCAGCAAATGGTTTTATTCAAATTCTCAGTAACTCAAAATTAAAAATCAGCCACTCTTTTTTTTTTGTCTCCTGTCCCTGAGTTACCTCAACTCATATTTATCTTGGGTTATCTCAACTCTTAATCTTTCATTCTACTTCAGGGATTAAAAAACAAAACAAAACCACAGCTCAAATAAAGTCAGGGCCTCTTACCTTAAAATTAGGAGGTCTGGAATTCCAAGAAAAACTCAGCCAACTTCACCCAGTGTAAAACGAGGAGCTGGTAGGGCACAGCAGGCCCCTGCTGGTACCTAGCACTGGTTTGGGTCTGCAAGGTGGTCCTGGGTGGACTTCTTTGAAACCCTGCTGCACTATGCCAAGTAAATGTCAATCTAAAAAATGTCTAAGACCTGTAAGAATTTTTGAGTTTATGTGAGCCAAACTGAGGATAGTTGCTGGGAAGCAACATCTCAAGGGACTGAGAAAGTGCTCCAAAAAATGGCGGTTTTTCGCCTTATTTTATACATTAGAATTAAAGGAGAAGGTGTAAGGGGGTTACATGAAATCCATTGGTGATACATTAGGGAGGCAGGAGAAAGAAAAAATGGGGAAATCTCTGGGATTGGATAAAAAGTAAAATGAATAGGCAAATGCTTCTTTTACATTGGTGGGTATAGGATAGTTAACAGTTAATTAACACGATTAAATAACAATAATAATGAGGGGTTCTGTGGTCTCCTGCTTTGGTGGGAGATTGTGCCCTGAGGGGTCTGGAAAAAAGAAATTACCCTGACATTTCAAAGGTATGTTATCACAGATGCAAAAAGATAATAGACAGGCTCAGTTAAGGTAAATATTGACCTTTGTCAAGGAAGATAGTGGCCTACGACATGACTTCCAGCTGTGACTCCCTTTTAATTTGGAAGTTTTAATTTCAGACCATCCTATGTGGTTACTTTAGGTCTCTGAGTTTGTAAAGCCTGCCATACAAGCCTCTCCTGAGTTTGTCAGGTTTAGTATATGACCCCTTTGTGGTCCACATTATGATGTAGAATAAGGAAGAAGTGGGAGGGAAATAGGAACAAGAGATGTGGGGGCTAGGAGGTGGGGCAGGCTTTTCAGGACTTGTAGGAGGGCTGGGGGAGCACTTTGTGATAAGAAGAAAATGAATGGGAAAGAGATGGGGGTCCTAAGAAGTATTGCTATGACTCTGTTCATTCAAAATGACATGCTGAGCTACTTGATGTGTCCAAACTCTTGAAGCAGCTAATTTTCACATCATGCCACTGAGCATTCTGTTGTTTTTGCACATCTTTCCGCTCACCACTGTTGCTTGTCTATTAAACGATGCTGAAACTTTAGCTCTACTTTAAAGCCTTCTTTGGTTGTCCCAAGTCAACCTGATCACTTTTTCCTTTGTACTACTTGAACTTGCCGGTATCACGGCAATTATTACAATGTACTGCAATTATTCCGTTTATTCAACTGTCTCTGCTCCTAGACAATGAAATCCTTGAGGGAAACCATTGTATCTTATTGTTGGATTTCTAGCACCCAGCATGGCATCTAGTTCCTAGTAATTAATCAATAAATAAACATTTATTAATTACTTGAATGAATGAACAATAAAATCATGAGGCTGTTAGGAATCCAAATGAAATTTGGAAAGATAGGCTTCACAAAATTAAGTAATTTATCCAAAGTTACACAGCTACTAAATGAGGGAGCAGGAGTTGAACTTGGTCTGTTACTACAAAGCCCATACCCTTTTCGCACCAGTCACCCACCTTGGAGCTGGTCAAAGCTCTTCCTGTGCTTCAGAAGTTTCTTTGCTGATAGTGATAATGTTCTCTCTCTTTATGGTGACATTTTTAGGGCATTTTCTTGGAGGTGTCTCAGGGATACAAGAAGTAATTGAAACGTTCTGTTTTCATTGCATTTTTTAAATGCTCATATTTGAAGTTTTCCCAGAAAAGTCAAGCTTTTAAAGCCTTTTCTGCTCCATTTATTTGACAAATTCTAGGTGGTAATATTGTTGGAAAGTATATCAGACTTGGAATCCCTCAGCTCCACTTGTTACCATTCATGGAAGGCCAGGCATCAATGCCAAGGGCACCTTGAAGCAAAGGTAGGTGGAAGAGTTGATTTTGAAGAAAATGAAGGGACACAGTGGAGCCATATTTAAGAGGAAGTGTTTTGTGGTCGGTAAACCATTACTGTTATTCAGCAAGGACCTTCCTATATCAGAAGCCACGAGGAACAGCCACTGATACCCAGTGAATATTCTTTTTTTGGATTACTTTCTGAATCTGTATCCTCCTCATCTGTAGTTGCTGACTGTGGCAATGTGGCGTGTGATGCCTGGACGTATTATCTCAGGGGAAAAAAAGGAAATGTTTGGCAGACTACACTCTTAAAAAAGAATAGTTGGTTCTCCCCTGTTGAAGGGTAGAGAGTATATGAACAAATCAATGGTTGGTTTTGTTTCATTTTTCTCTTTCAGAATATCTCTCTTATTTCATCTGACAAGAATGTGGGATAATGTATAATCATTTTTAGTCATTTAAAAAATTGTATCACTTTCCTAAGTAGTTCAGGGCACCTGTATTCTCTATAAGCAGAACACAAGAAAAGATGTGTCAATAACCACGGATCAAAATCATTACTGAATTTTAAAATAGATATGGCCCCTAAAAAATAAAAATAAAATATATGTGGCCTTTTACCTCCAAGGAATATAAGGCTTCTTACAAAACTTTCACTGCTAAATAGGCATTAGTCTATTCAACACCGAAGGAGACAGGCGAAAATATGCACTTTTTCAATACGATTTTATGAACTTTTAGGGGAGAGCAGTCAGCAGCTTACTTACAGAGTAGAGAAGGTTGTAGTGGAGATTCTTTTTTTTTTTTTTATCCTCACCCAAGGACATTTTTCCATTTTTTTGTTCAGATAGAGTGGGAGGGAGGGAGAGAGAGAGAGAGAAACATCGACGTGAAAGGGACACATCGAGTGGCTGCCACCCGCACGACCAACCAGGGCCGGGGACAAACTACAACCGAGGTACATGCCCTTAGCGGGAACCGAACCCGGGTCTCTCTGGACCACAGGTCAGTACTCTAACCGCTGTGCCAAACTGGCCAGGGCGTAGTGGAGATTCTTAATGATTTGTTCTGCCAACATTTGCTCAGCACTTCCAAGCATCAGACACTGTACTGTGTTACCGCAGCAAAGATGATTTAATCTGGCCTCTTCATTCAAGGCACTTCCAGAAGAGTGGGCAGTCCTCTCAGCCACGTTCTGACTAATGAGGCCATGGGGACACATGGGCACTTTGTAGGATGGGGATGAAGACTGCCCAGAGGTGGCACCTGGGCTGGGTCTTGATGATAAATAGGAGACACGCCAATAAAATGATTAAGGAGCTGCTTCCTCTGTCTTTAATATGCAAAGCAGAGAAGACAGGGCTCCTTCAGGGAACTGTAAGGATTTCAGAATGACCAAGTAGAAACATGAGGGCTGGGAGCGGGAGTCCCATAGAAGACATGGTAAGAGGTGGGGAGCAACAGGCCAGGACAAAGGTATGAGCAGGGAAAGAGCAGAGAGGGGTTTCATGGAACAGCTTTCACAGCTCCCTGTCTGGCTATAGTTGAGCCACACATCTCTGGTAGGACACAGCCTTTTTCTAGATATGCCCACTTCTCAAAAATAGCCCTAAGAGAGTCGTTGCCCCAAAGTTCACAGGGCCTGCTTCCCTGAGCCCAAGGATTTTAGGATGCAGGGCAATGAGCCCCCTCCCACCCTCACCCTGGAAGCATTTACCTGGAAGCCTCTGGATCTCAAATGAGAACAAGCTTCCTAAGAATCCAAATACTGCAGGTCTTTTCTCTCTGGGAAGCCAGCCACCATCCGCAATTCAGTGGCAATGTTGGCCCAGACTATTGCATTGCATGGCTCTGTGATTGTTTACCTACTGGGCAGGGACCAAGTACACAGTCTCTCTCAGCCCTTTGCTTCTGATAATTGCTTAATAAATCTTTACATGTGTATTGACTCTTCTGAACTATTATTTAATGGTAATTGATTGATGCTCAATAAATATTTACAAATAATCATTACAATTTGGGTTTTGTGGTGAGGGAAAAATAAAGGAAAGGGAAATGGGAGCAGAGAGAAAGAGTGAGGGTACAGAAAGAATGTAAAGAAGTAATCACTAATATTAACTTATTGAGTACTTACTAAATCACCAGTCTGGAGCTTAGCACTTATGTATGTATATTAGCTCATTTAATATTTACAAAGACCTATAACATTATTATCACCTCTATTTAACGGATGAGGAGCCTGAGGCTCAGAGAAGTTGAGCGACTTTCCTAAAGCCAGGGGAGTGGTTTCCAGACTAGGGTTCTATTTGTTACATCTAGCTTCTGGTAAGAAGGGAAGAGGCTTTGGGAGTTTCTGTAGAAGCTTTAGTAACAGTTCTTACCTGAGGACATGCAGCAGGAGATTCTGCTGTATGTTTCAATAACTAAAGAATAAAGTTTAAATCTTGCTTGGGTGGCTTAAAAAAACCTATGGACCTGACCACTGTCCAATGACCTACACAATTTTCTCTGGACATTCTGTCACCTCCCCTGCCCTGCCCCTCCCTCCTTATTATCCTAATCTTTGCTTACAATCCTTTTATATCCACTTTGATCATCAACCTCCCATGAATGACAAGTACCTGTATACTTTTTGGGGTGCTTGGCTTAGCAGAGAAGCCCAAGATTGGGATCTGGTGTCTAATGGATGATATGACAAATTCACACAGTTGATGTGTGCTTTTTCACAGTGTTGGCTTGGGACTTCCTATTAAAAACGAGAAAAAAAATTTTTAATAGAATTATTCATGAATGAGTAGGGGGTGGCTTTAGAAACATTAATTCATAAATGCACTTTGCCTATCAGATTGTCAAAAGCCCACTAGAAAATCCACTTAAAGATTAAAGCCCTGGCTGGTTTGGCTCAGCGGTTGGAGCGTTGGCCTGCGGACCAGAGAGTCCCGGGTTCGGTTCCTGCTAGGTTTCATGTATCCCTCTTTACACCACCTCCTTTAATTCTAATGTATAAAAAAAGATTAAACATTAATGTGTTTGAAGAGCTCTGCTTTTGTTGCACCTGACCTGGGTGCATACTTTTATGGTTCATTATATGAATCTAGGAGGCAGATGTTCTGACTTATTTAGCCTGCAGAGAAAATGTCGCTGAGTGAAAAGGACATATTTTAGAATAGATTAATGAAGCTCAAAAGGGTGAATAAAAATGAAGAAAGCATCACAAAGTTTATAAATATAAGCTTAGTTTGTAGTTAAATGCAGTAACATTAAAAACAGTAGGCTATTTTCTTTCATAATTTCTTGTGTAGTCCAACAATAACAGCTGCCTACTTAAACTGGATTACTGATTAAGAATGTCATTTTAAGCATTAGATTTAAAAGTACATAGTTATGTTTCTACCTTCAATCATTCATTCACTGCCATAGTTACTGAGCACCTTCTTCCCTTGTACCAGGCACCAGGGAATAAGGATATGGTAGTGAAAACAACAAAGATGTTCCCTCTTGCAAATTCTAGTGGGAAGAGACAGAAATGGACCCATAAGTATATGATGTGTCAGGTGGGCAGAAAATGATGAAACAAGGCAAAAAATCTAGAGAGTGATGGGTGCTATTATTTCAGCTGGGAAGTCAGGACAAGGCCTCTGTGCTGTGATGACATCTGAGCAGAGAAATACAGGAAGCAAACACATGAACCATGCAGAAAACTATGAACATAACATTCCGGAACACATGAGCCATGAAGTAACTGAGGGAAGGATATCCCAAGCAGAGAGAATAGCAAATACGAAGGCCCTGAGTAAGGCTACTTGGTGCGTTTGAAGGGACATTGAGGAGGCAAGGGCAAAATACTTAGGATTGAAATCTCAATGAACTATAAATATATACACCTTTTTATTTCCTAAATTTTCTAATAAGCTGGCCAATTAGAAACATCTTTTTGTTTCAATCCATATTAAAAATATTTCTAAGTCTCCTACTTGAAGTAAATACACATTAACTTACTCGTTGGCCCTTTCACTCATGTCTTCTCTGTGTCAGGCGTGCGTGGGTGCTGTCAGGTGCCAGGCAAGCACGAGCGAGCATCACAGGCCTGTTCCAGCCTTGGCCACGCGCACAGTGTTGGAGGACTTGCATTCCCTGCAATCTTCATTTTCATGTATAATATGGGTGGTCTTAGGAGCCGGGATTGGGAACTCACTAGGAAAAGGGCTGGGGAGAACAAACAGGGAAGGCAAAGGCCCAGTGGCAGAGAGGACCAGGAAAGTCGTGTAGACAGACAAATTCAGACTCTGAGAGGAGAAAAAGGAAGAATCAGGTGAGGAAACCTGGGACCAGGGAATCAGAGACCCACCAGGCAAATAGTTTGGGCACCATGAGATAGGAATCCTAGCCAAGCACCTCAATCAGCTGGGAGAGATCTTTCTCAAGACTAACAGGTGCCCACAGCAAGAAAGGAGCTAAAAGAGCCCATCTCTGCCAATCGGGCTCAAGAGTTAACATGGAGCGTTTTCAAGCATTTTTGTCAAGGCCAAAGGACAAGATCTCAATTTTTCTGTTGTACCCAGGCCAAGAGTTGAAACGGTAAAGTCAGGGGTTTGATTGTATTGTTCACCACTGTTTGAGTTGGCACATGTTTGTTGGGCTGAATTGTCCCATTCCTGACTGATTACCTGAAGTGGACCCAGCTGCTATCCAGCACGGGCTCCTCTGGACCCCCAGGGTCTCCTGGCCAGCCACGGCAGCCGCTGCTCATCACCCACCTCGCCCCGCAGTCCCTCCCCCCCTCGTCCCTGGCAAGGACCCCCCCACCAGAGAAATGCCAGAGCACAAAACAGTGGCATTTTCAATTAAGCTCTGATATCAACTGGACTTTTTTATAGGTCTGCTTCTTCTAGGAAAAAAATCCAGAAAACTTAGCCTTTAATTTTAATTCACATGTGAATAATCAAGATTTTTATTGTTGTTATTGTTTGTTCTTTGGGATTATTTTTTTTCATTATCTATTGCCCCATTTACCTTTTAAAAAT